CAAAAAAAAAAAAAAGGGGGGGGGGGTGATCCTCTTCTTTTATTTTTTATTTTTATTCTGTTGATTAGGACCGGGAGGAAAGTACAGTTTGGTTGGTTACCTTCCTGCGTTTTCCCTCCCACCCAACCCTTTTGCCTGCATTCCCGTTTTGTTAAGTGCCATGTCAGCAGTGCCAAGTCAGCAGTGCCACATCAGCAGTGCCATGACAGCAGTGCCATGGCAGCAGTAGTGCCACATCAGCGGCAGTGCCACGACAGCAGTGCCACATCAGCATTACCACGACAGCAGCAGTGCCACGTCAGCAGCAGGGCCACGTCAGCAGTACCCCATCAGCCGACACCGTACAGCTAACTGCAGCTTATGCTCCGACGCAGCAAACGCATCGCAGCACGTGAAGGGCGGGCACCCGCAGCGGAACAGCAGCTACCCCTGCCCCACCCCTCTGCAATGGATGCCCAGGGCAAACCCACGGTGGACAATGCCGCATCCGGCAGTCCACACGAGGCGTGCAGCTCGAACCCCCTGGTCCCACAGGTCCAGCAGGTGGGTTCCACTGCGACACCTGCGGGAGCCCTCGATGCGGCGCCAGTCCGGCAGCAAGGAGAGACCATGATGGCCTTCCTGGCCCGCCTGGGCACCTACATGCAACAAGTATGAGAGGAACAGCAACGCGAGGCGGCAGCCGAAACGGCACGCCTCAACGCCATTGCACGCGACGCGGAGCAACGCCGCCGGAAGCACGCTGAAGCAGCTGCCAACCATAACAAAGCTCGAAAAGATGCCGCATATGTCCTCATGCAGCAGGAAGCCGCTCATACCGCCGCACTCCAAGCATGGAATGTTGATCTGACGGAGACGAGGGAACCAACTGCGGAGGAGCAGACCAAGTCAGCCCTCGCGAACATGATGCACCAAGTCATCCTCACTTGTAATTGGCAACAAGTGGAGCTGGCTCGGCAGGCACATTGCTGAGTATGAGGAGACTCTCAAGAGCCTCCATGCCCGCCTTGACGTGTTGGAGAAGGATGACGTGCCGCACAGGCACACGGCATCGTCAAGCATTGATCCACCGAACCGCGAGCTGGAAGAACAAATGGATCACCTAGTAGCGCTCGTCGGAAATTTGAACAGTTTCCGACAATCAGTGACCATCAGCCAGCAAATAGCCACTCTACAAGCGGATCTGCGTCAGCTGCAGCAGCAACCAACCGGGACCTACAACAACTTGACGTCTAAACAATACAAGATGCCGAAGTTCAGCATCGACAGATTTGATGACTACCACAAGGCGGACCCCATACGTTGGTGGCAAGGATTCACCAACGAGCTCTCCATCCACTTGGTCCCGCCAGAGTCTAAGATCTCAGCGCTTTACCTCTGCAGCACCGGTGCCAGCCAAGTGTGGCTCAACCACCTGGCTCAAACCGAAGGCGTCGATGTCGCTAAGCTTTACACCAAGATCACTTGGGAGGCCATGACCGAGAAGTGGCGGAAATGCTTCATCGTCAACGACGCTAAAGCCAAAGGCGTGAACCGGATCTTCAGCATGCACCAAGACAGCCAGCCAACATGTGAATGGCTAACCGAATGGCAGAAACTCGTGACGATTCCGAATCTGGACATACCGTTCGTACATCTTCGTCGCGAATTCTTCCAACGGTCGGTTGACACGTTGAGCACGGCCCTTGGGGAGCGCAGCCTGCACACGGACTTTGACCAGATCGTGGATAAGGCGCGCGTAGTCATCCAAACAAATCGGTGGGCCGCCAACGAGCGGCGAAGCCAACCAAATTTTGTGGAAAAGGGCAAAGGCCCGCGGCCGCAGCAAGTCGCTGCTGTCCAATGCAATGGACAAGAGGACGACCAGGCGCTGACTCACGAGTCTAGTGAAGGAGACGGAGTCAACGCCCTTCCGCGACGCAACAACAAGAAGAAAAAGGCGAAATCTGTGTCAGCAACGGAAGTCGGACAGTCGAACAAGCCGTGGACGAAGTTCAGCCTCATGGAGGAGCAATACAAGCTCCGCCAGAGGTGGAACTGTTGCTACTGGTGCAACAGCACCAAGCACACGACGTCGCAATGCCCTGACAAAGGCAAACAAGACGCCCGTCCACGGCAAAGCTCAGGAGACTGAGCTTTGCAGGAAGTGAGGCAACTCCACTTCCTACTCCGCTGGACACGGTTGCCTTGCTAACAACCTCCTCCATGTCCGGGGAATATGCGTATGTCGCCAATCTTCACGAAGGTTATAAAGACTATGCTGTCCAGCTGGTCCTGCCGTTGGACCAACCTCTCCACGTGCAAGAGTCTTATGCGTGCGCGGCTTCAGCGCCATCGCCAAGTGAGCCAGAATCCTCGCCGACATTACTCGGGAACTCGTCTGTGTGGTCTAGACTTGAGGACCTCGACCCATTGACACCGGAGGATTTCCATTGGATGCCTCTTCCCCCATTTGGTTCCTTGCCGAAGCCGCATTGCAACGCCCTAATGGCGGAACTAGGCAACTACTTGCACGTTGCAGTACCAGCTCCGTTGATGGAAGACGGAGTAGGGATTGTTGACCTTCGCGAGTACATTGCGAAGATTGACAGCGAGTACGCCACGCAACGGTACGATAACGTCCACGCACCGTTACTCTACGTCCGCATTCAGATCGGGAAGGCGACCTGCAACGCCTTGATTGATTGTGGAGCTACTCGCAACTACATCAGCCAAGACTTCATGATGCGCGCCGGCCTTGGGCCGCGCGTTCAAAGGAAATCGCAGCCCACGCAAGTCGCGTTGGCTGATGGTCGTACGCACAAGACCATCGACCGGTGCGTTGAATCCGTCCCCGTGTACTTCGCCCCGCATGCACGCGAGGCCGTGTCCTTTGACATATTGGACACAGTTCGACATGATTTTGGGCATGTCGTGGCTGCGTAGCGAGGACCACCCGGTGAACTTCTACCGTCGCAGCGTTCACGTTCGTGACCGGAATGGGGTACTTGGGCCATGTACGGTCCCCCCACCTCACCCTTCAATTGGTTGTCACGTGGTCTCCGCGACAAGCATTCGCAACTCCATCGCACGGAACGACGTGGAGGAAATGGGCATTTGTTTCTTGCACGCCCTCCCTCCTCCGGACGAGCCAGCGGCGGAACAGCCACCGGATCCACGCAATGTATAGCTTCTTGACGCCTATGGCGACGTCTTTGAAGCCCCTGTCGGAATTGTACCGAATCGGCCAATTCGTCACGAGACCATCCTCGAAGACGGGGCCGTACCTCTGCGCGGATGTATTTACCGCATGAGTGAGGAGGAACTCGAAGTGCTTCGAACGGAACTCGATGACCTCATTGACAAGGGCCGGATTCGCCCTAGCTGCTCGCCCTACGGTGCATCGACGATCTTCTCGAACAATTAAGAATGTCGGCCCGCTCCCACGCATCGACGATCTTCTCGAACGCTTGGGCGGCGCCAAGCATTTCTCCAAGTTGGACCTCAAGGCCGGTTTCCACCAGCTCGAGATCCATCCAAGAGATCGATACAAACCGCGTTTAAGACACGGTACGGGCAGTTCGAGTGGGTCGTAATGCCATTCGGCCTCACAGATGCCCCGACCACCTTCCAAGCGGCAATGACAACAGAGTTTCGCGACATGTTGGACCGGTTCGTGCTCATCTACCTCGATGACATCTTGGTATATAACCGGAATTTGGACGAGCACATTGCGCATCTATGCGCTGTTTTGGACAGGCTACGTACGACCAAGTACAATGCCAACCGAGCCAAGTGCGAATTCGTGCAGCAAGAGCTCGACTTTGTGACGCCAGAAGGCATCGGTCTGCTCGCGAACAAGATCAAGGCCATTCAAGATTGGCCGGAACCAACCAACACCACAGAAGTCCGATCTTTTATGGGATTGGCCGGGTACTACCAACGCTTCATCGGAGGATACGCACGGATCGCCTCGCCCTTGTCAATATTGCAGTCTCCAAAGGTGCCCTTCCAGTTCACCGATGAAGTTCGCAGTTCGTTCCACAAATTGAAGATGGCATTGCTCCTTGCTCTCGTCTTGAGTATCTACGATCCCACCTTGCCTACGAGAGTGACTACGGACGCTTCCGGCTACGGCATGGGTGCAGTTTTGGAACAGCACGACGAAGTAGACTGGCATCCGGTTGAGTATTTCAGCCAAAAGGTGTCTCCCATCACAACTCGGTTGATGATGTGCGGAAGAAGGAGTTGCTTGCGTTCATGACGATACTCAAGCGTTGGCGACACTTCCTCCTCGGGCGTCGTAGGTTCACTTGGGCAACGGATAATAACCAGTTGACCTACTACAAGACGCAAGACATGGTGAGCAGCACGATTGCTCGATAGATGTACTTCATCAATCAGTTCGACTTCACACCGGAACATATTTCGGGCCTCTCCAACCAAGCCGCGGATGCTCTCTCGCGAAGATCAGATCTTTGTGCATTGACTCACCACACGTTCAGTTTCGACAACGCCCTTCATCAACATTTTGTGCGAGCATACAAGTCCGATCCGGAATATGCCACTCTCTACAAGCAACTATCCTCGGATCACCCGCTGGCCAGCCACTATCACGTCGACGATGGCTACTTGCTTCTCCACTCACGAGGCAAGGACTTACTATGCGTCCCACACGACCGTCGCTTACGAACTCGCCTCCTCGGCGAGTACCACGACTCGAGACTCGCCGGCCACTTCGGAGTCAACCGTACGATCGCAAGACTTCGACAACGATTTCGGTGGCCCGACCTCATTACCGACGTTACTCGGTATTGCGACTCTTGTGAAGTTTGCCGATGAAGCAAACCCCGCAATCGCAACCCCTACGGCGAGTTATGCCCGTAGCCTATTCCGCGGGAACCTGGCCTCTCCATTGCTATGGATGCCACCGGCCCATTCCCCCCTGACCGCTTCGGGCACGACGACATTCTCACAGTCGTTGACCGATCGAGCAAGTACGCACTATTTCTTCCTTACAAGTACTACGCCACGGCTCCTGAACTTGCGCGCCTCTTACACACCGGTTGGATTTGCGGCCACGGCGTTCCGAAAGACATCGGCAGCGACCGCGACACTCGTTTTATGTCGGCATTTTGGACCTCCCTCATGAAAAAGTCCAGCACCGAGATGAAACCAAGTTCGGCTCGGCATCCGCAAACGGACGGGCAAACACAGCGGGCACATCAAACAGCTCAAGTAATGCTTCGCACACTCATCCGTACGGATTAGAAGGATTGGGTGGACCGCCTCCCCGGCATCGAATTCGCCTACAACACTTCGTTGCACCCGGCGATCGGCGTGACTCCATTCGAGTTGCACCACGGTGGCAGGAAAGGTCGTATCTTCGCTGATCTTCCATTTCCAAGGACTGTCGACATTGACGCTGCTTGTTCTCCCGCCTCCATTCGAAAGTATAGGGACTTGCTGGCTAAAGCCCGCGCCAACATGCAAAAGGCTCAAGTTCGCATGCAACAGCAAGCTAACAGGCGTCGCGTGCCATGCCTGGGTCTCCACGGAGGAGTTTGCGCTTGAACAAGATGTGTCCCGCAAGCTACTCCCAAAGTGGTTTGGACCATGGCCCGTCACATCAGCCGCGGGCGATGAGCCCGATGGCCCATCCTTTGTGATCGAAATCCCGCCGCATCTCACGGTGCACCCTGTTTTCCTTGCCTCCAAGCTGGCCAGATATACACCAGCCACGAGCGACGACTTCCCGGGCCGACGATCGCAGGACCCTCCTTCCATGGATGGTCATCAGGAAGTCGACTGCGTCATCAGGCATCGCAAGCACGGCAACAAGCCAATGCAGTACAAAGTCACCTTCAAGTGGTGCGACCGCGACGACACGCGATGGATTTCCCGGGCAGCTTTGCAAGCCTCCGCACCAGAGATCTACGCTGATTATGAGAAAAAACGGCTAGCCACAGATGCTGCACTGCCTCCCACCCGGACTTCAGTCCTCCCTGCAACAGACAGCTTCGCCCTCGCAGGTAAGCTCGGTCTTTCAAGGAGGGCGGAGTGTGGCATACTCAGTACCACACGGGCCCAGCAGGGACGGACCAGGTAGACTAAGGGTCTGTACGTGTAGGGCCTATTTTCGTTTCAGCCTAAAAGCCTGAAAACGAGGGCCTACAGGCCCTGTGTCGTTTTAGCCTGAAAGCCTGAAAACAAGGGCCTACAGGCCCCGAGTCTTTTCAGCCTGAAACGGAGGGCCATTTTCAGGCCCTCGTAAGATCGACCTGCTGTGAAACTTAGGCACCGGACCAGGGTTTTAGCACAGGCCATTTTGGGCCTGTTTTCAAGACAACCTTTGTTTGAACTTCAACGCCAGGGTCTGGCACGTTTTGGCATTGGCAATAGCAGCCTCCTGGACGGGCCAGCACTATATAAGACTGGCCCGCCCTACAGGCTGCAGGCAGTCAGGAGGCAGTTCATAGGAACTTCCCAGGCACTTCACGTGCAGGAGGCAGGAGATAGTCTTCAGGATTCGGCAGCAGCACTCTGGAGGAGCGCTGCAGGAGTAGTAGTAGCGTTAGCAGTAGTCTTCAGCGCTGGGCGCTAGTAGGAGCCAGAAAAGCGTTGGGGAGAGAGAGCGATGGTTGGCCGAGGCCAGGGAGACTTACCTGTGGCGCCATAGCTCCAGCTTCGTCTTCGATGTACCTGCAACAGGGCGCCACCTTCACAGGTTAGTACCGGACTAAGAGAGAGAGAGAGTTCTTCTTCTTCCTCTTCTAAGTCCACCATCTCTTCCTCACCCTCTCGCTACCTGACTTCTCAGTATCTGCAGACTACAAGAGAGAGAAAGATTGGTGACTTTGGGATTTGACGACATTTGGATCCAGAATCGACATTGGGATTCGGACATTTGACGAGGGATTATTTGGGACTGTACCGAAGACTTGGTGTTGACGACATTCCCATCTTCCCTTCTTCTTCGTCTAATCCGACTCTTCTTCGTCTGTGTGTAGTTGGGGACTGGCGCATTCTTCCTGTGTGAGCGCCAGGCCCCTTCACACCATGGAATGATGATGATGTATGTTTGGTCTGCATAGCAACATTGATTGTTCGGATCATTAGTATTTAAGCCGTCCGCTGTGTTATCTTGTACTTTGTGAGAGAGGTCGGTTCTTGTTCTGGTCTGTACCGTTACGGTATGCAACAGGCACTATCCCCACTGGGGCCTTCCTGGCAGAGCGCACTGCTCTCCTCCTTCCTCCCAGGCAGCGCTCTGTGAACCAGCGCCTCGCTCGAGCAGCATGACTCCCGAACTTGCATACCGCAAATGAGGAGGAGCTACTCGCTCCTCCTGGAGATATAGCGGCCTACTTGCCGCTTGGGCGCTGACTTCCAGGCCGTGCGGCCTCCAAGATACCAGTACCTCCTCCCTTTTGCAGGGAAACATCATTGCAGGCTCTGATATCGTCCGCACAGGCCCTAGACTCAGGCTACTTGGACTGGTACCCGCCTACCTCTAGCCTACAGCTACTGGGCCTCTAAAAATGCCAACTTTTTCTCTTCTTCTGCTCGGCCTTCAATTCCCGACACATTACCGCTACTTGAGTGGTACCGGCCTACCTGCTACTAAGTGTCACGAGCCTACTCCCAGCTACTTGAGTGTTTTCCGCGCTGCAACCGTCAAAGTCATGGCACAGGTAAGCACCGGCCTGCGGGGCCTCACAACCACACAAGTGCCTTGTCGGGCCACACACAGTCAGGCAGGCACACGGACCAGCAAGTACGCATCCACACACGGACTTAGAAAACTCAGCACAACGTGAGAATCTCAGCAAGGCATTCATTCCAGCGGCAAAACCCAGAAATCAGCAGTGTTCTCAGTTTGTGGTTTGGTGGGTCATTACACTGTTATCTTTCGTCTAAGAGGATCCAAAGTTTGGAATCAAACATTTATCTCTTCTAGGAATTCTCATTCAGCAGCAATGCCCCGCACAAAATCACTGTCTGAGATTCCTGCAATTTCTGAGAAAGTCTGAGTCTGTTTTGCTGAGATTTGCTCTGGTTTCTAAGTGTGTGTGTGAGCTACCTCGCACTTGCATGTGCTGTGTGCGTGTGCTAACCCTGTTGGCCGTGCATGTGTGGCTGTGAATCGTACAGGGATGAGGCAGGAATGGAGTGACGTCAGGGGCAGAACTGCAAATTAGCGGTAGGATATGCTGGGGGTAGTTTATCACCCAGGGGCAAGTGTAGAACTGGCCAGGCACATGTAGAATTTTCAGGAACTCGGGTAGCCCCTGGGAACCAGTAGGCTTAGTTGGTAGTCCGGTAGCGTTCAGAAAGTCAAGTGTTGAGGCCCATATCTAGAAGGGTCATTGGCTAGATATGAGCCCTGAGGCCGAGTTGCAGGCTGAAATGATGTCCCTGCCAAAAGCAGGAACACCCTGGAGGCCTAGGGCACCCAAGGGAGGCCGGGTAGTACTGGGTAGTGCACGACCAGGAGGTACCGGAGGCCGGGAAGCCAAAGCATGTAAGCGGGTGGAGAGTGCAGAGTGGTACACTTCATTCTTCAAGTGGGCATTATGCTGCTCCGCCCAGGGGGTGAGGTAGGCAGAGCACTTGGAGGAGAAGGTGGAGGTGGAGGGCGAAGGTGAAGACTTCCATGGCTACGGAGGGGTAGTGGGAGGTCATAGAGATAGGCCAGGGCTATGGAGGGCATTGTGATGGACCTCTAGCCTAGCTATGGAGATGCATAGGAGCCTATTTGGAGGTACAAGGAGGAAGAAGGAGGTGGCAACCAGGAAGGAGACGCACCTTTGGCTATGGCAGAACATCTCCACTTCATTGGTTGGTGCTGCATCTAGAAGGCCCCTGTGTGGGTACCGTCTGTGCTGGAACTTCATCTTAGAGCATCATAGTGGAGTTTGCATTGTCCTTTGAACATCCAAGATGCACACGGATGTTCCACCATAGCTCGGACTGCATACAAGTGAGGAGTGAGGTTATGGATGCAAGGAGGGCTCCTCGAGTGCTGGCAGTAAGGGGGAGTAATCGGACATTGATTCTAGCACTTCCATTCATTGCTGTTTATTATCATTGTTATTATTGTAGATGATGGAGGACATGATGAGCTGGAAGATGATGGAGGAGGTATCAGGGAGATGACATCGGCTCCAAACTTCCGACGTGTGTTTATCTTCTTCTTCTTCTTTTTCTGTTCTTCATCCTTCTTCCTCTCCTGTCTTACTTCTCCGTGCAATCTCTTTCATTTGAGTTGCAAGGGAATGACATTGTCTGTTTGTGAGCTTTTGCATTGGAAGTTGACCAAGGATCATAGCACAGCCAGCTATGTCTATTGTCCTCCGCCAAACATAACACATAAGCATTTTATAACTTTTACAGCTATGTCTATTGTCCTCCGCCAAACATAACACATATGCATTTTATAACTTTTATTCGAATTTCCCCTGAAAATCAAAATTTCCAAAAGTTGGTCCGTGGTTTTCAACTAAAAGGGCACTTCGTAGAGTGCATATGTGTAGTATTTGAATAGAACGCGTGTGCTTTCGAGTTGGATTTCTGACGAACAAATTGGCTTATTTGAACAGAACAATTTTTTTTTTGCCCTTTTTTTTTTTGTACCATCGATTGGTGACTGTCCATCAGCAAGGGGGGAACCCCCACCTTGGTGGAGGCTCACCCCWTGGTTTGCACCCGCCACTGTTCTGTCGTGACCCTACCGCGCTTGACTGCATTTCTGACAGGCTCGTCCTTGGGTTTCTTGCACTTGTTCATGATCTACCTTCAGCGACGGCTGTACAGGACAAAACACTGGCCCAAACACTGGCCCATACTCCATGGACAAAAGTTCTAGCCAGTATGAAACCTGAGCCTACTCTACCCAGACCTCCCTCCCTCGTCATCATAAAGTTGCTGCTGCAAACTCGAATAAAACCTATGCAAATTAAATGCAACCTTTGCCTTCTATTCATATAGAAGACATATGCCTTATATTCGGGGGAAGATGGTAGTCAAGGGTAACTAGCAGGATCTGAATGCAAAAATCCAATTCACTGTATGGCTAACAGCATCTGTTTGTCCCTTCTTAGGCACTTCTAAGTCTGATTTATCCCTTGTGGTGGGTTTTGTGGTGTATGGCTTTTCAGGGTATGAAAGAGCCAATATGCCGATTTTATATCGCCTGCATAGTCCTGGCGCTGGAGTACCTGCATGCACGCAATATTGTCTATCGGGACTTGAAGGTAACTGATTGCGTCGTGCTATGGCTGGAATTGGCCACTTAGCAAACATGTGATTATCCATTCATGGGATCCATCTTAAAGCTGTTATGAGTTTCAAGAATGTCAAGTTCTTCCATCCATCGTCTCACTTACACACTTCACTGAAGTGAGATCAAACTCCAATGCACTCCACAGAAAATCCGGCCTGAACAATCACACCCAAGAAACCAGGAAAAGCTGCTTAATCAGCTCATTTACTGTGCGAGCCTATGCTCATGGAGTGGATGAAGCATGTGCAAAAGACAATCCACAGAAGCTATTTTACGATCCTGGTCATTCCGAAGTGCAAATTCACAAGGAAAGACAATGCCACCCAAATGCGAAAGAAATGAAAGCACATGCAAAGAGATCGAAACCAAAGAAGAAGAGGGAAAGAAGAAGAAGAAGAAGAAGACCCTGGCATTGAAGCTCAACCAGGGGTTGTCTTGAAAACAGGCCCGAAATGGCCTGTGCTAAAACCCTGGTTTGTTGCCTGAGTTTCAGGGGGGTCGAACATATGAGGGCCTGAAAATGGCCCTCAGTTTCAGGCTGAAAACACTCAGGGCCGGAAAGCCTGAAACGACACGGGGCCTGTAGGCCCTTGTTTTCAGGCTTTTGGCCTGAAAACGTCATGGGCCTGAAAGGGGGCCTGTGCAGCCTGTTGCAGGAGCAGCATGTAACAGCAACCCTCAAAGTCACGGCCACAGTTAAGTACCGGCCCTGCGGGCCTCCAAACAATCAAGTACTCTTGCAGGTCACACAGACACTCAGGCTGACAAGCACTCAGACATGCACGCAGACCAGCAGGCACACACCCACAGACTTAGAAAACTCAGCAGAATGCGGGAATCTCAGCAAGGCATACATTCCAGCGGCAAAACCCAGAAATCAGCAGTGTTCTCAGTCTGTGTTTTGGCAGGTCATTACAGCTGTCTATCCTGACTGGTCAGTGGTGATGGTGTGGGTTCTACAGGACCAGTGTATCAGGATTTTCTAACTCAGTTGTGTTTGTTTGCTACTCTCTTCTTTGTTCTCCTCTGTTTTTTCCTTTTCGTTCCAGCCAGAGAACATCATGGTTGGTGCAGATGGTTACATAAAGCTCGCAGATTTTGGCTTTGGCAAGGTAATCGATGTGTGGACATGGAGGAATGATCCGAGCTAAAATTCTTGAACAGTTGTGAAAAGCAAGCCCGCCATGAGCACTACAAATGTGTCTGTTTTGCTAAACCCCAAGTGGCCTACAACCTGTCAGATACATCGAGGGCCGGCTGTAATTGCTGTCAGAGACATCCAGGAAAGCCTAGTGTGAGTATGGCCCAAGTGACACTTGTCGTATCTGGCTGCAATTATGGCCAGATTAAGGCCATACTCACACTAGGACTTCTGCCAATTAGCTATGGGCGTAATTGATGCCAGATACATTCAGGTCTGTCTGTAATTGCTGTAAGATACATCCAGGAAACCTTAGTGGGAGTATGGCCTGAGTGACGAGAGCCGTTACAGTATCTGGGTTAAAAAAAAAAAGGAAAAAGAAAAAATAAAGTTCCTGTTTCCTGTCAAATTCAGCCCAGGTAATTGGGAGTGGAACTCGGATCTTTAGTTTCACAGTTCATCGCTGTGAAAGGGTTTTACCTTCCTAAGCCTTCCGTGATTCGATCCCGGGACCTGTCACTTTTGCTATGTTGTATGCTTGTGTTTGTCGATTGTCCGAACTGTCTTTTCCTATATAGAAGTGACGACATCATGGTGAAATGAGGACATATACACAGGTAGTTGCGACCAATAAATTATTTAAACAATCCGCCTGTTCTCTCCTCAATTCCACAAATGCACTTGCCCATTTAAACCACCAGTCCATCGACCCCTCTACTCTTCATTTTTTTTTGACGTCGAGTACCGGGCCGAGATGTATAGTGATCAGGCATGGTGCAGGCTTGGAGGGCGAGGGCCTCCGGGCCCCAAAAATTTATACACGTTACTGTATCAGACAGTCTTGGAGAAGTGCAAAGTTTGGTTCGACAATTTAGGGCCCTATGGACTGGTGGCTTAATCTGTCCCTCTGCTGATAGTGAGATAAACAACAGCCTATATATTTGATTAGCTTCATTGCAACTTTTCCAGTTCGCAGTGCTAATCAGTAAATTCACTCTAGAATACACTCTGTGTATCATCGCCCATTTCTCACCAGTTCGTCTTCGAGTAGGCGTCTCAGGGCCTACTTCCCCGTGACGTCATCATCTGTTGTGTCTTCATCAGATGATGTGGCCTCGCCTTGTACTTCCTCGTCCTCCAAATCATCGTCCTCGTAGTTCTATCTAATGACGATGACACCGTGAGATTCTCTGGCACAAACGGTGTCTCTTGATCAGAGTCACGGTTAAAGTCATGCCTTTCATAAATCACGAAGCCAGGTACTTTTTCCGTACTGCCGTGATTGCCTACGGCTTGTCCTTGTATCGTATGTTATGGCACTTGCAGAACACCTTCAGATCATCATAGTGATAACGGAGCAGTTGTGCCTTCGTTATCGGTTCTTATCTGAAGTTGATACTCCTCTTTCCTTTGTCCGTCTTTTGTGTCGCCTTCGTCCTCATGGCTGACCCTCTCCTCATCATCTTCTTAGCTGGATGAGGTGTGCCGATGCGCACTGGACCTGGTTTCAACGATCTCGTCTGCCTTGGTGTATAATATTGTATATGAACTGGTTGGAGTCCATAACTTCTTCAATGCTCCCTTGACTGCCGCCAATTCATACTTCATTAGCTTCATTTCTTTCATCTCCTTCAATATATCTTGTACTTCTGATGCAACCACTTCCATTCTCCCACAACCAGATCGCATTCCTTCTCCAATTACTCCAGTCTTCTTCTGCATCTCCTGTACTCCCTTTTCCAATGGTTTCTTCCCTCGTTCCCCTTCATCTTGCTTTGGCAATGCGGTCTCCAGTGCTTTGTCAATCATTATCTTCAACTGGTTCGCAGAAACAGGTGGTGTCTCTTTCTTCTTGATATTCTTGATCTCATCAAGTTTCTCATTCAAATGATCGATTTGTTTCTTCAGATGATCCACATCGCGCCGCAAAGCGGAAACCTTCTCCTTCAACTGGATGGTGAAACACGCTCGATTTCCTAGTGGCGGGAAATCGTCTCGCCATCCTTCGTGTGGTTGGTATCTTCCCCCTCGTTTCGGTGATTTGGACGCTGTTCACCTCCTTGGTGACCTTGATTGTGATCAAGAACATAATCTTCGCTTGTGATCATGCCGTGATTGCTATCTTCCCCGTCTTGTTCGCTTCTTCCCGTGTGATGGTGGTGACGAGGATGAGGAATACCTTTTCGTCCTTCGATCCGTCGATGTGCGCGATCACGCCATCTCGAGGTGAACTTAGTCCTACCTTCTTCCCCCGAATACAACGTACGGTCATTATAGCTGTATCTAGACTGAAAGATGCCTCAAATACAGCTATAATGACCGTACGTTGTATTCGGGGGAAGAAGGTAGTCAATCGTTCCACAGTGACATGCAATCACATCAATAATTCGTAGATTAGTCCAATGGGATACCACCACACGAAACACAGGTAAGTCGTAAGAGTAGATCTCACCATTAGTCCACCATGATGTACCGTATGAATCGCCTGACAAAATAGAAACCTAGCCAACTTAAACAGTGAAAAAGGGTCCACAGTAAATTAACTTGAAAGTTGAAACAAATGATGAATGCTCGACCACTCCTGATAGAAAAAACAATGTATGGATTGTACTGTACTAACATTGTTAAATCAAATAAGTAAAAACGCCGAACACCTAAGAAAGTAAAAGATAGTATACGTTAGTATACCTTACCGGTGCCGATCTGTGCGAGGCACTGTGTGTAGAGATTGACAAATGCAAATAGAACTCAATGCGCAAGGCTTTAGTTTCACAGTGAACGCATTCAGTCCATGGCATGCGGTATCTTATACCGGGACCAACCTTCTGCCTCCCTATCAGTTTGGTCTTCACAGCCATTATCAAAACTTATATAGTCCTAAGTTCAGCTTCCTCCGTCCACTTTCCAATGTATCTCATATTGTCGTTGGTCACACACTCTCACTTTCACACACACTCCCACACAATACACTCACACTACTTCCCTGCTGATCTGCACCATACGATAAGAGAAATTCCACCAATCCATGGTCGATCGCTGCTATTGCAGCCACTCCCTGGTAGCTCGTTATAGTTCACCTGTCGCGGTTATCCCGCTGGTAAATTATGCGTGTCATAATTCTATCCCTAGTCGACCTCCCACAATCTAGCGCTCCTACTTCATGAAATATTGGAGGTTCATATATCCGGTTCCACATCTTCCCCATTACTCCTCAGTGATCCTTCTCTCCTCCTTGTGACTCTCCCTTTCGCATTCTGTCTTTCACTCCTCTTTTCCATGTTTGCTCGTATCCATTGCACGGATCTCAACAGCTTCCTAGCATCATACTCCAGTCCTGTTATATCGGTATGTTGCCGTTTTCCGTCCATCTCTTGATCATTCCGTGTGACCTCCATCGGTTGCGCAGATTCCATAAGTCATGTTTTGTACTGCGCTCTGTGTAGCTGTGGTGTGCAATCGCGTACATAGGTTCCTTGTACGGCCGTCGGATTCCGTTGTTACTCGTGTGATGCTTCGTCTGCTGGTCAATTTCTCTACACCATTGTATGTTTGTAATCCTTGTACTTGGTGCTTTAATTCCATATGTCATTATTTGCTCCGATTTGATCATTTTTCATTTCTGAAGTTCTTTACGACCTTTGCTACATTTTCGTTTTCGAAATTTCTCAGGAAAGCATTTAATGCCGTAAGGTGGCGTAAGAAATTATTAAAAATCCGGGTATTTCAAGTGCTTCAGTTCCTTACTCACGAGTTCCAGTATCTGAGGTTCGTCCATTTCATCCTTTTTGTTTGCCACAATTCGGTGGATAGCCCCGATTTTTAGCGAACTGAACCTACCCTCCTGAAATGACGCAATGTCCTGGTGGTAGTAGAGATTGTAGCACATGAAGACTGCGTTGAACTCTGACCTGCATCTTTGTAGCAGCGAGTGACACGGCATTTCGGAAGTTTCACTAACGTGTCAAGTTGAACTCGATGGTGTAATTGAGCCAGGCCTGTTATCTCGAATTTGCTAGTCTGTGAGCATATGTGTGGGGTTTACCCACCATAGCTGCACCATCTATAACTTTGTGCTGTGTGCGTGTGGTGTCTGACGACTGTAACTCTGAAATTTCGTTGAACTGTGTGCCGAAACAAGACCAGCCGGGGCTGCTATGAGGTGTGATATGAGCAGCTCCTGTGGTAGACCTGTTGCCGGTTGCCCCGGCAAGCAGTCCTCCCAAGGCCGGTCCTGCCATTCAGCTGCAGCTGCTGGGGGAGCTCTCCCTGCATGGTTGCCAGCCCTCTTTGGTGATGGCTCTTGAAGCGGGGGGCCAGTATGTTCCGTACTCTTGAATTCTGCAAAAGTCAGCTGCATCGTCGGGCCGCAGTACCTGACTAGCGACCCCGGCTGGCCGAGCCTCCTAGGTGAAAGAGTCAGGGAGGAGGACAAAAAAAGGGGAGGGTGCAAAGGGGGAGAGGGGGTTGGGGGAGACGGTGTCAGGACAGAAACCCTGAGAAGGGTATCTGCCCTGTATTTTCAATGTCGGATGACGTCCGAATTCTGAAGTAAGTTTTGTTTTGAAATGGTTTGGTCTGATGAAATTGAAACATTGTTGGAATGTATTCCGACTCGTCTGCGACTAAGAAAGTCTAAATTTTGTGCAACCGTCCATCTACCTGCATGAATAACAGCCAGAGTGGACGGTATAACCGGACACTCTTGCACTGAAAACAGGGGCCGGATAAAGGAACGGCAGTGAAAACACTAAAATAGAAATTTGTTTTGACTAAAATTAACGGCCGCGCAATTCAGGACTAGAAAAACCAAAAATGTAGTCGTGCTAGGGGTACGGCGACGGTGAGAAGGGTTAACACAGCCATAGTGCCGTGTCTTTTCTAAAAAGACAGACGTCAGGGGTCCAAGGGCAAACCACGACGAAAGGGGTGGATTGCCAGGCCTACTGGACCAAACCCAGTTGGCCGGGTGGC